TGTTGAGCAATTTAATCATAATGTGTCTTCGTGTAGTTTTTGTTTTTCACGCTCCTTTTTGGATTTATTTTCCAGAGAGCATGTGCACTTGCTAGAGAGACAAAGTGAAAGAGAGAGCCGCCCCAGCGGGGCACGGTTATGCCGCAGCCCCTTCACCTCTCCCTTCTCGTGGGATTCGGGACATGCATGTACACATGCTCAACGTGTTTTACAAGTTGCTGGGGCGGGATTTGAACCATGGTTGGCCATGTGAGGTCCAACTCCCTTAACCACTAGGCTATGGGGCTGCCCCTACACCCCCCTTTTTTATGCCAGAGGACATGTGTGTGTGTGAGAGAGCACCCCTCAGCAGGGGCTGGTCACACTGTGGATCCAGATAGCGCTTCTGGGCGCAGGGTTTCACTGCTGTCCTGGGGAGCCGGCTTCCCTGGACTTTTTTTAAAAAAATAATTAAATTTTACTTATACATCTATTTATTTTTAAAAATTTGACCAGAGAGACAGAGAGAGAGGGAAAGCGAGAAAGCAAGTCACCAGGTCTAGGACTCGAACCATGGTAAGCCACGTGGGAGTGTCCAGTGCCTTAACCACCATGCCACCTGCTGGTCCTCTCCCTGGACTTCTTGAATTTGTAGATTTATAGTTTTCATTGAGTTTGGACAATTTTCAGTCATTATTTCTTCAAATACTTTTTTTTTTTTTAAGCTATAGGGCGCATGCGCTCACCAGAAGACAGAGACAGCGAGAAATCACCCTCCAGGGGGGATGGCCACGCAGCAATCCTTTCTCCTCTATTCTCCGCTCGGGATCTTGGGCACGCACGCACACGTGCCTGGAGTGAGTTTAAGCCACTGGGTCCGGGACTCGAACTGCGGTCGACTGCATGGGAGTCCAGCGGCATGGCCATTATGCTAGCTGCTGGTCCCATCTTCAAATACTTTTCCTGTCTTCATTTCTCACTGTGATCGGCACACTGGCTGGCTGGGGGGGTCATAGTGTCACTCTGTAGAGGGCACTCCTTTTTCATTCTGTCTCTCATGAAAGAAGATAAAACTTTGAGGAAAAGGTGAAAGAGTTGGACAGGAGTGCATTGGGTGGGGCTATCCCTGGGGTGCACAGCATGGGGCTCCCAGCTCTGCCTTAAGCCTAGTAAGCGTAGCTTCCTGGATTCCTCAGAGCTCAGGACTAGGGTGCGGGGACTGGGGAAGCCAGACGGGTCGGGACGGGTCTGCTGGACTGAGGCAGAGCTGGGAGTGTGCTGCTGGGCCGGGCTACTCCTCCCTGCTTGTTGGGACAAGGGGTGTGTTTTTGTTTTTTTGGAGAGGTTTTTGCTATAGGGCGTGTGCGCTCGCCAGACAGACAGAGAGAGACATAGAGACAGAAAGCGAGAAATCACCCCCCAGGGGGGATGGTCACGCCGCAATCCCTTCTCCTCCATTCTCCTCTCGGGATCTTGGGCACGCACGCACACGCGCCCGGCGTGAGTTTTAAGCCACCGGGTCTGGGATGCAAACCACGGTCGACTAGGTGGGAGTCCAGCGACATAGCCATTACGCTAACTGCTGGTTCCCAAGGGGTGTGTTTTCTGTGGGCAAATGGGCTACACTACACGGGAGCAAGAGAACAGCCATCGATTAGGCTCTGCCCAGCGACCCCCCCCACACACACACACACCTGCCTCAGCCACCGGGCAAACACCCAGAAAAGTGACACACTGCTTGGGTGAGGGGGACTTCAGGGCGAGGGACAGCTCTCAGCCACGAGCCCAGACAGAATACCCTGGTCCTTCTCAGCACTGCCTTTCCCGGGAGGCTGCCTGGAAGACACGTGGAGAAAGAAGGCGTGGATTACCCTCCCCCACAGCTCACCTCAGGCTCAGGGCCCACAGAGACCTGGGCGGGGGCGGGTGGGATTTAAAGCTGAATTAAGGTTAGAGGCTTAGCTGCAGATCCAGACATGCTGATTTCAGAACCTGGCTGGAGGTCACCATATGTCGCAGACTCTAGGATGCTGGATAAGGCCAGGCTGTCTGGCGTTGGCCTGCTGCAGACCAGAAATCTGTCGGAGCCAGGCCAAGGAGGAGCTTACTGTAAGGATGCAGGGGAACCGCGTGGGTGTCTGAGACACACAACTGTGATCCCCTGGTCTAGGCCAAACTGGGACCCGAGGCTGTGCCATTCAGCAGCTGGACACAGTGGTTTCTGAGTAACATATATTTTTAATTGTATTGGCTATTTCTTTTTGAATGATTTATTTAAAAAACTATTTACTTAAAAAATTATTTTTAGGGGAACCAGCAGTTAGTGTAATGACTATGTCGCTGGACTCCCACGTAGTAGACCGCAGTTCGCGTCCTGACCCGGTGGCTTAAAACTCACGCCAGGTGCGTGTGCGTGTGTGCCCAAGATCCCTAGAGGAGAATGGATTGCGACGTGACCATCCCCCCTGGGGGGTGATTTCTCGCTTTCTGTCTCTATGTCTCTGTCTGTCTGGCGAGCGCATGCGCCCTATAGCGAAAACCTCTCCAAAAAAAAAATTTTTTTTTTAGAGTTGTTTTGCCTTAGGGCATGTATGGTCACTGGAGAAAGAAACAGTGAAAGGAAAAGTGAGAAATTACTTCCTAGGGAGGACGGCTACACTGCAGTCCCTTCTCCTCTTGGGGATGGATACATACACACACACTGGGCATGATTTCAAGCCACTGGATCCGGGCCCTAAACTGCAGTTGACCATGTGGGAGTCCAGCAAGGAAACCACACCATCTGCTGGCCCCTATTATATTTTTGGAAAGGTTTTTTCTATAGGGTGCGTGCACTGGCCAGAAAGACAGAGACAGAAAGTGAGAAATCACCCCCCAGGGGGCATGGCCACTCTGCATTCCCTTCTCCTCCATTCTCCTCTCGGGAGCTTGGGGATGCTCCCACATGCGCCTGGTGTGAGTTTAAGCAACCGGGTCTGGACTTGAACCACAGTCAACTACGTGGGAGTCCAGGCGACATAGCCATTATGCCATCTGCTGGTCCCTCTTATTTTTTTTTTAAAAGAATTATTGGGTCATTGGAAAAGTCATGACTTCTTTTTCTTTTTTTAAGAATTACTTTAACTTTATTTCAATTTAAGCAGAGAGAAACAGAGAGAGAGAGAGTGCACGCGCGCGCAATCCTCCAGGTCCAGGACTCGAACCATGGTAGGCCACGTGAGAGGCCTTTGCCTTAACCACCATGCCACCTGCCGTCCAGGTGTAGACTTTATTCGTCTCCAAAACTCACTCAAGTGTAGAGGCAGTCTTATTACTCTCTTCATACACCTGAAGAAGCTGAAGCACAGGAAGCTTTCTAGCTCCAGGTACCCCCTGACGATGCCGGGGAGACCTACTGGAGTTCCGGGCCCGACCCAGCCCAGGGAGCTAGGCAAGGCCGCCCTGAAGAGACCCGAGCAAAGTGCGGGAGAGGCAGGCAGGTGGAGGGGCTGGCCCGCGCAGGGCCGAACAGGAGCAAGCGGGTGAAGGCGCGGGGCGTGGGAGCAGACGTGGGCTAAGCAGGTGGGAGGGCCAGGCAGGAGGGCGGAGGGGCCTGCTGGGGCAGCAGGCAGAGTGCCCAGGCCAGGCTTGCGGGACGCAGGACAAAGGTGAAAACCGGGACTGTCCCCAAGTCAGACGTCTGGGTCGCCCACTTAAGGGTCAAGAGAAAGCACTTCTTTCCCATGAAACCAGTGGGAAGTCTGGGGTGAGCCAGGCGATCTGCTATGCGTTTTTAAAACGTCGACTTTCGGACCGAGGAACCATACACTTGCAGGCAAAAGCCTCCGGAGGTGGGCCGCGTGGACGCGGGCGCGGAGCCGGAGCAGCAGGGCCCGAGGCCCCGCACTGCGGTCCACGCCCGGAGCTGGCCACCCCGACCCGCCTCCACACCGAGGCGCACACGCGCCCGTCTCAGGCGGGCGGCGGG